AGTGTAAAATTCTCATCGCATGGCAATCGGATCCAGTAGTCATGCGTTGTAGGGAGGACATGGCCCGAACGTTGATGGTAGTATTCCAAGTTGTTAAGCATGGGCACCGCCTTCGTCAACGGGTGGATCAACCGCTCCCAGTTGGGATCTGTGCCGGAAACCAGCTTCTCCAAATCTACATTGGGCGGCGGGTGGTCGAGTGACCATCCGGTTGGTAGCGTCACCCCGGACTCCTCTGCAAGGTTGGTGTTGGTGATGTATGCAACGACCTTGGGCTGGGACTCAGGTGCGATGAAAGGCTCGTGAGGAGTCAGACCATCCTGATGAAGGCTGAGATGGAGGACCGATGATGCACGCCCAAGCTTTGACTCGATCACTCGAATATAGGCTTTTCCGGCCGCTGTTCGATTGAGGAATGACCAGTGAGCTGCCAGTGTGTGTGGTTGGTTCCGAGATGCCAGGTGCTGGCCGGCAACAACCGAGAAAAGGGTCGCCACGAAGCCTCCATTGGGCACTATCCTGGATGTCAGTTGTGATGCAACATTGGTGATTTTAGGAGATTGGTTTACCTGTCCCGACACAGTACGAAGGCACTAGGTCTACTTCATAGACACTGTTGCTGAGCTTATGAGCTTTGGCTACCTCTCCTAGTGGTAGTGGGACCTTTGGCTTTGTGGTCATATCGATTTTGCACCAGCTCGTTCTCACGTGAAATAACCTCGAGAAAGAACTATCTATTTAATTGAGAGCTATCGTAGTCTAATACGGTTGGGTGACTAGCTATAGTATAGGTATTTATAAGGGGTTGGTGAACCGGGACAGCACTGTGCCCCGCATTAATATGGTCGATAACACCAAAACAAACCTCGGTTCCGTATCCGCGTAGCATCAGCTGAAAATTGAATTTTGAGCCTCAAAGCATGAAGTTGCATCTAGATCGAGGTGGGAGATGAATGACACGGCGAGGAGGGTGCCTTGTAGTATAGAAGAATTTTGACCTTATAACCATCTTGCGAGTTTTCTGGTGGTAGTAAAAGTTGAGGCTTGGCGAAGAACCTCTCTTTCACCTTTAACAGGTGCTTAAGCAAGTTGCTTTACGAGTTTGATTCCTGGATTTAAGGTGGCAGCACTGTGCGTTACTGCCGTGGCGATCTGGTTCCTGGGGAAGCATACATCGAATAGGACGATTATGGTGCCATCAATTGGTTCCGCGAGCCGACGGGAGTGGTGTTTCAAGATAAGCCGGCAGTCGATGAACATGTGGAACCATGATGAGCAGCACGTTGAATCAAATCGTCTCTTGATTGAATTCATAGGGTTTATTTGAGAATCGAATCTTTTTGAATTTTTATTTCATTTTAATCTGTCATCTGTCATCTGCATAACACAGAGCATCTTCTTTATCATTCCAAGCTTGAATTTGATCCCTTCATAACAATTGTGGGGCAATGAGAACGCCAGTTAATTTCGTAACATCGTGCAAGCCGAGCCAGCGTACTTGTGAGAGTAAATATTGTTGTAGCTGCTCAGCAGCTGACGATGGCATAATGAGGTGTAGATGGCTCCATGTAGTCCTCGGGGTCCAAGGGAGGCATGTAGTTGTAGCTTGAGGTTGTTCGGATAGGCTGGGGTCTGGCTTTCTGCTCTTCTGTCTTTTTGGTGGCGGATGTATACCCGTAGTATTTGGAAATAAGTTTCCTTGAATTGTTTAGCTTCTTATCTTGAACCATGCACCGCTTAGATGTATGTTCTTACCTGGGAAACATGTTGGGAATGACTGTGGATAGCTGAAAGACGAAAAAGGATGAAGGGCAGGAAGCACAGCGGTAACGGAAAGAGATTGGCGGAAAAGATGTCACAGGAGCCCGCCTGAATTAAGAAATGAAGTCAAGGAAGATAATTGGCGCTGTGTGCTGCAGTGCGTGATCAAAGTACTATTTCTTTGGGAAGGTTCATTATTATATATCATCGGTGAGATGGTGGTTGGCTTGCCGTATCATACGGTCATGAAACCGATTTCCCCTTCTGAAATCGGAGTAGATGTGCTCCATTTTCTCGACCTTTGTCTAGTAAAAGGCTACTAACGGGTGATATGGCAAGGGTCGAATTGCCACCATTGGAGAGATATTTATTAATATAAGTATCTAGGTAGTAGGAACGTAAGACTAGAATGGGGGCGGGGCGTTGGAGCCGGCGCCTCGAGTTGCAAACAAGTGGTTCCACGACTTGACAATGCCTTTAGGCCTTCTACACAACCACATCTGAAACGAGCAGAGCCCAGGCACAGGGAGAACATCTTCAATGGCTCGAACTTTCATTTATTTTTACTCTTTTTTATTTTTATTTTTGGTTCTTTGGAGACACCCTTAGCTTCGTCGCGAAGTGGATGTCGGCTATATTGGTGTGGTAGGTCTTGGGATGCAACGGGTCCAAGCGGTCCATCGCCGAACGGGGATACCGTTATGGATCCCAATGTAACCACAGCGAGAAATGTGTTGGAGATTCTTGTCTCCCGTACACTCGCTAAAGGACGTGGAGAAGAAAATAATTGATCATCATCTCTTTCCGTTCCCACATTTGAGGTCTTCGTGGGATGGGAGGCCTGCGCTACCTGCAGGAAGTGTTTGGCTTGAAGTCGCAGGACACGGCGCTGTCTGAGGCAACAGTGGTTGGATAACGAAGGTCCAGCAACATCATTGAGAGTGGCTAAGCATGAAAAGGGCACCAGGCCCCGGATTCGGAGCCATTGTCGAATAGTGGCCATCGAGGTGGCTGGCATTCGTATTCCAGCCCCAAATACTGTCAGATTCAGCGAGCATACTGATGCACCCCATGCTCAAGCCTGTATCCCCGTGGCTGGCTGCCTGGCCCAGACCGTATCAAGCGGAAGAAGAAGCTCACCAGGACGAATTGCCGAAGAACTTTGTCCGTGATTGATACTATCATTCGTTCCATGCGAAATACAATTGATTTAAACTTACACTTGTGCTTTTCTAGAACACCGGGGCTGGCTGTCGTGCAATCCAAGCGCCGGGTATCATAGCCGATGCCTACCTCTACTCCATGGTTCAAGTAAAAGGCCATGGCGAACATTGAGCTACTCTCATCCTTGCATTGGCATAAAAACTTAAGCATTTATCCGTGGGTATATGAAACTAGGTACCTATCTATGCAATATTTGAGGTACAGACCCCAGGGACCCAGCCACACTCGTGTGACGCGTTTATAGGGGAGATGATTGATTACATAACCATCATGAGACGCCTTACGTCGGTATATCTAACCGCTGACACGAGACCTCCCTTCCTTCATCTCTCTCCTGCATACCCATCGAAACCATCATCCCTCATTCAAACGAAAACGGACACAACATTTTGCTACACTTGCTTCCGTAATTTCCATTGATCTAATCTCGAGATCCATACACAATGTCCCGATTCTCGCAATATGACACGGACGAGGAGCGACTACCGGAAGGTATGTCGCGAGTCGGCTACGATGCTGACACAGAAGTTTACACATTCAAGGATGCGGACGGGAGCTATTGGGAGAGTGCTCCAGGCAACCGTTACGGTCGTTTGACGCGTGTCGGAGAAGCCCGTGTCTCTGAAGACGATGACGACGCTCAACCGTTCCTTGGATCCGAACAGCAATTCCGACCATCTTGGCGTGCGGAAATGATGCCTTTGCTCAACTTCTTCATCTTGGTCGGCCTGTTTTTGGTCTTCCTCTTCTGGTATTTGCACTCCGCCGCGAAGTCGGGCTGGTCGAGCCCCCCAAAAGTGATTTGCCAAGAAGGTGAACTTGACTACACCATCGCCTCTGGGGATACCTGCTGGGACATTGCACATAGCCGAGGTATCACCGTCGATGATCTTGTAGGGGCCAACAAGGGACTGGATTGCGACAGGCTCAAGAAGGGTTCACATGTGTGCCTTCCCCAGAAGCCCACCTCGGATTGAGTTATTGATGGAGAAGCCATTATGGTTTTATGACGAATGAGCGACTGGGCAGTATTTGCATCACGATATCAATCACGAGAAGGGCTTCATCAACGGTGTTCGTCACCAATACACGGGGCAGGGTAAAGGTGACGGGGAGCCATTGACACTAATGCTTCCCTCCGTCTGAAGCTCCACTATTTCGGCTGGGCATAGGTTCGCTGTTTCTGGGATTGCAAGACATGTGTAAAGTGGATGTTCTCTTTGGGGGTCGTCTGTCATGTCCAATATTGGTGCAATGGCGACCTGGAAGACAGGGTCCGCTTTGCATCATTTCAGTTTGCCGTGGGGAACTGTGATTATATGTTGAGGAATAAAACTGAGGGCTATCTCGGCTTATCTAGTCTTGGTCAATGGGCTCCAGAGCCCAAGAACTGGCTTAGTTTTCTACTAACGCCAACTGGAAGTGAACCTTCTCCTATGGCGTAGAGACCATAGCACTGCCTGTTTACCTCTTCCAGACCGCAGAGCCCATTCTCTGCACCTTGGCATCTGCCTAGGCCAGGCCACGTATTACCAGTTCCATGTCGTGGAACCCCAAGAGAAGACTCATGGCATACTTCCATGGAGATGAACATCTCCTACACATCCTTATTCATCAGCTTGATGGGTTGGCTTGCTAGCGGATTCGCGGATCGATGCTACTTTTGGCAGCTCATGTCCAGGCCTCTGCTAGGCGCTGCTAATCACCCAAATTGAACTCGCTGTCATGGGAGGAGCGGGGCGGGGCGGGGCACCAATTCAACTGAGCCTGCCGTTTGGGCAGAAAAACATTTTTTTCTCCCACCACGCGTTTGGTTGCTCTGTGCCCCGCGCCGCCAATTTTTTTTTTTTTAAAAGGCCTCGCTGTGTTCCCCCCAATCCTCCTGTCCTCCTTGCACAGACTCCCATCTGCGAGCCCTTTTCACCGTGCAATCTTGACAGGATGGACAAAGCCAAGCTCGTCCAGCTGCTCAAGGGCAGCCAAGTGCGTAAGTACTGTCTTCCAAATCATCTTCATCAAAGCGTCACCACCGCCGTGACCAGATTGTCTGCGTCAGCTACTAACTCTGAGGCTTCGCAGCAAACACCGAGCAGGTCAAGGCCGCCACTGCCGAACTCCAGAAGGACTTCTACTCCAAGCCCGAGTCGCTTCTCCTTTTGATCGAGATCGCTCTCACCAACGAAGCTCAGGATGTCCGCCAGCTCGCTTACGTGCAGGCCCTCCGCCTGGTCCCCAAGTACTGGGGCGAGAAAACCGCTCAGGACCAGCGCCAGCTTGCTCGCACACACCTCCTTGATGGTCTTCTGAAGGAGACCGCAAACAACATGCGTCACTCAGCGTGCCGTCTGATTGCTGGTATTGTTGGAGTGGACATCAAGAACAAGGAAGGCGAGGAGTTTTTGAAGCAGCTTCTTACTCTGAGCAACAACGACAACGTTGGTGTCCGTGAGGCCGGTTCATACCTGCTATACGCCATGCTCGAGAACAACCCAATGCACTTCCTCGACCACATCCACGATCTGCTCAAGCTGTGCGGCTCCCGTCTGGAGGACCCCCAGAGCAAGGATGTTCGTATCAACATTGTTCGCGCGATTGGTGTCATCGCCCCTCTGGTTGAGCCAGAGGAGGACCCTCAGGCAACACAGCTTCTCCAGGGCTTCTTGCCTGGCCTCGTCAACATCCTCAAGGCTACTATTCAGGATGAGGACAGTGAGGGCTACAACACTGTCTTCGAGGTATTCGAGACCTTCGTTGCTCACGACCCCAACCTGCTGGGCCAGCACCTCAAGGATCTCCTCGACTTGGTTCTGGAGATTGCTGCCAACACCGAGGTTGATGAGGATGCGCGTACTCAGGCCATCAACTTCCTCGTCATGTCAGTCGGCTACCGCCGTATGAAGATTCAGGCTATGAAGGATATGGGCTCACAGCTCATGGTCAAGGCTATGCACATCATTGGTGAGATTGAGACCGACGATGATGAGGAGCTCACTCCTGCCCGCAGCGCCATCAGACTTGTCGACACTCTTGCCAACGAGCTTCCTCCCCGCCAAGTCATTCTCCCGCTTCTGGAACAGTTCCCTATTTTCGCTGCTCACCAGAAGCCTCAATTCCGTATGGCCGCCATGCTTGCTCTTGGTAACGCTGCCGAGGGTGCGCCTGATTTCATATCCACTCAGCTCAAGCCTCTCCTCCCTATCATTGTTAGCCTTTTGAGCGACGCCGAGACTCAGGTCAGATATGCTTCTCTGATTGGTCTGATTCACCTCTCCGAAGAGATGGTGGATGAGATGGTATCCCACCACGAGGAACTTATCAATGCTGTCCTGAAGAACTTGCAGGCCGCTTCCGAAGGTCCTTCCGACAAGATGAACATCAACATTATCCGCTCTGCCTGCACTGCACTTGACACACTCGGTGATGGTGTTGACACCAAGATTATGGCTCAGTACGGACCTAATCTGGTGGGACCCATGGTCAGGCTCCTTGACCACACAGACTTTGGCGTCAAGTCTTCTGCTGCCTCGGCTCTTGGTGCCATTGCTGCTGCGATGGAAAAGGACTTCCTTCCTTACTTCAACGATGTCATGGAAGCTCTTGGAAAGTTCGTTGTTGCCAAGGAGAATGATGAAGCTCTGGAGCTGCGAAGCTCCACCTGCGACAGCATGGGCCGCATCGCTTTGGCCGTTGGTCCCGAAGCCTTCCAGCCATACGTCATGAAGCTGATGGAAGCAAGTGAAGAGGCTCTGGGTATTGACAACCCTCGTCTCAAGGAGACCAGCTTCATTCTTTGGTCCAACCTTGCCAAGGTCTACAAGGAGGACTTCAACCACTTCCTCAAGGGTGCTCTTGAGGGTCTGTTCAACTCTCTTGAGCTTGAGGAGGAAGAGATCGATCTCTCTGGTCTGGATACCAGCGGACTCATTGATGGTTCCATCGTTGTCGGCGGCAAGCAGATCAAGGTGAAGGCCTCCGATGATGACCAGGAAGATGAAATGGTTGAGGGTGATGATGACTGGGATGATCTCGAAGATCTTGAGGGTCTCGGTGCTGTCACCGCCGTGGCTCTTGAGCAGGAGATTGCTCTCGACGTTCTTGGCGACATCATTTCCCACTCGTGTGGTACCAACGATCTCGAGACTGTGGTTGAGAAGACCATCGAGAAAGTCCTCCCCTTTACCGGCCACTCGTACGAAGGCTGCCGCAAGACTGCCATTTCCACTCTCTGGCGTATCTATGCCCGCGTCTTCCAGGTTTGGGAGGAGGGCTCTGGCTCCAAATGGGAGCCTGGCATGCCTCCCAAGCAAACGCCCCCTCCTTCCATCATCTCTATTGCCCAGACTATCTTGATCCCTACCCTGAAGGCATGGCCTGACGAGCACGAAAGGTATGTACATGGAACCAATTCATCTTTTTATTTGAGGCTATTATATGATGAGCATCATACGTTAAACCCAGCTCACTCAGACGCAAAATGCGGTTGCTGAGAACACGTTACATCTACTCCTGACTTTATGCCATTTCTTCCCTCCATTGGTACCTTCGCATCACATGTATGAGTTGTTCACTAACAGAGTGTACTAGGGCTGTGGTGACCGACATCAACCGAAATGTCGCCGCCACTCTCAAGGCTTGTGGTCCTTCTATTCTGGTGGCTAAGGATGGTGCATTGCAGGAGATCATCTCCGTCGTTGGAACCATTGTCACGCGATCTCACCAATGCCAGCAAGACTTTGGCTTCGAGGATGACGAGCCTGAGGTTGATGCTGGATCCTCCGAGTACGACTGGCTTGTCACTGACACCGCACTTGATGTGGTCGTCGGCCTTGCTGCTGCGCTCGGGCCCGATTTCCATGAAATCTGGAAAATTTTCGAGAAGCCCGTTCTCAAGTTGGCCAGCTCAACTGAGGATATTCAGCGTTCCACTGCTGTTGGCACCATTGCAGAGATTGTCAAGTATATTGGCGAAGCTGTTACACCTTACACCGAGTCTCTCGGCGAGGCTCTTGCCCGTCGTCTGACCGATACCGACCCTCTTGCCAAGTCAAATGCCGCATATGCCATTGGCATGCTGGTTCTCAACTCCAATGATACCGCCAAGACCTTCCCTCTCTACCCCAGGATTTGGGAGAAGCTTGAGCCTCTTTTGGCTGTCAAGGAGCAGCGAATGGCTGACAACGTATCCGGCGCTCTTAGCCGCATGATGATCAAGAACCCCGACAATGGTTTCATCGCCGAGGCTCTTCCTTCCATTATCAGCGTCTTGCCTCTGGAGGAGGACTACGAGGAGAACGTGCCCATTTTCCAGAACATCTACCAGCTTTGTAAGTTTTAACTACTCGATTTGTGCAAACGATAATGACTAACCTTTTATTCATAGATGACCAATCCAACCAGACAGTTCAGCAGTTCACCCCCCAACTTCTTACCATTTTCGAGAAGGTCTTGAGCCCTCCCGAGGAGCAGCTCGAGGACGACGCTCGTGAAATGGTGAAGAGGGCCGTGCAGGGTCTGTACAAGACTCAACCCAGTCTCTTTGCCAACCACCAGAGCCTACTATCCCTGGCTGGCGCACAATAGAGGGTGTAAAAATGAAGCACATATGAAGATATGATTGACGAGAAGAAATATGATATAAAGAACAAAAAGGGGAGATCGCCGTGGGCGACTACAATTATTGCTATTTTTAAGCGCGAAGAGATTAATTGCTCTCGATAGAAGGTTAGAACTTGATACCGTAGTTTGTTACCACGTTGTCTGAATAGGGCGGGGAAAGAATATACCTAAAATTTACATGGTCATCCATCTCAACAAATCTTCATCGCTCTCGGCCACCTTGAATTCTGGTACTAGGACCCTTGCTGAGACATGAAATGGTACGGAGGCAAGTGGGTGACACAGGAAATGGCACACCTAAATTAAGACCCAAATGAAGACCCAAATAAGCACCCAAATAAGCACCTAAATACACACCTAAATATCTAACTAAGTATCTAACCTTAGCAGAGATTGTAGTTTATTAAATTTTTATCTTGATATGTTTTTCCTTTAACCTTGTCTTGGTAACTGCACAGCTAGCTATGAAAGATAGTTGATCAAGTGATTGTTAAGGGAGTGCTTAGGTGTGCCATTTCCTCTGTCACCCACTTGGGAGGCTTCTCACTCCTTGGTTTCTGTTGTTGACTAATGCAGAAATCTTATATTCAACAAGACCTGTAGCTGCTGACATGGTGGTGTCTGTCTCACCAGCGCCAAATTTCTGGGAACACTCCTGTAAGATTCTCGAGACAACGTCGGCAGAACAGAAAAGTTCAATAGAGGTCTCAGAACTCTAACCCCTCTGCAGCACTTCATGCATCAATATGATGGCTGGGCGACCGTTTGGCATGCTAACAGCTGGCAGGAAAATTCCCGCTGGTACCTGAGACAAAGACACATTCCACGGGTAGCCACAATTGGAAACGCTTTTCCCTGGTCGATTCACTGGAAAAGAGCCCCCCCTTGTCCATTTCACAGTAATTCCATCTCTCTCATGGCCTGCAAATGGCCAGCGAAATGCCTGTGTGGCATACCTACGCCTCCCTGGTAAGGGGAACGGGTTTGTGCTTGGGGACCACATCGAATGTTTCTCGGCCGGCTCTCTTCTTTACCGTGGAGAGAAGAAGGCTCCTTTGCATGGAATTTGTCAACTATGGCAACTTTTTATGGCCTTAGATGAGGTTTCCATGTCAGAATCACATCTAATACGTTGTCCGCTATGAGCAACTTGCTTGCTTACTGCTGGCATATCTGCTGCCCTCGGCCCTGCCACCAAAAGGCTTGAGGGGTAGGTCTTGGGGTAGATCTGGTCGTCCCACACTGAGACATTGGACACGTCCAGCCTCCACGCGACAGGAACTTTATTGGAAACGCGAGGTTGGATCACGAGATGTTGGATCAGTTTCGTATTAAGGTATTAAAGGTCTCCAAAGGGCTGGGATGTTGAGACCCCGATGTTGAGATATCTATATATTGGATGCCATGGCACTCACATTGATTGCAACAATCACACTGGCATCTGTCCCAGCATTGGCAGCCAACACCATATTGCCTCTACTCCAAACTGATTTCTTCAATCCCAAGAGAAATACGAAAACTCGCCCACAGGCTCTCTGAAAGCTATACTATTGTCCAGTCCAAGTCGCATCACGAAACCGCCATCATGAAGTGGGAATCTGTTTTGCTTGCGTGTCTCTCGGCTGCCGTCCAGGCTGCCCCTCCAAGTGAGCCCAAAGATGTCGGCAGCGCAAAGAGGATTCCGGACGGCTGCTTTGGGTCCTTTAACGGAAAGTTCCAAATCATTATTAGCAAGAAGACTGCAAAACGTTCAGCAGTAGAGGTATGTTACTTATCGGTATCTTAAGAGAGTACCTGTATGCAGCCAGCTAATAAGTTCGCAGAGTGGAAAGTGTACCGACAAAGGCGCACTTGTCATGTCCTTGAAGGACGGTGGACTCATTGATTCGCAGAATCGTATTGGCTCCATTGCCTCGAATCACCAGTTTCAGTTTGATGGCCCTGCACAGCCCAATGCACTCGCTACTAAGGGCTGGGCGGTTTGCGATGACTCTACCCTGGCACTCGGCCCAACACGAACCTTCTACCAATGTCTCTCCGGGGATTTCTACAACCTCTATGATAGAAACTCGGCTAAGCAATGCGAGCCCGTCACCATCTACGTCGAGTCGTGCGAAGCCCCAGACAACGCGGACCAACCACGGGTCAGCCAGATCGGGGACGGCCAGATCCAGGCCCCAACCAAGGGTGCCATCATCACCAAGACTCGCAATGCCAAAGCTCATGCGTCCACGGGAGTCTCCTCGCTAGGTCCTAGCCAGCCTTCACGAGCTCCTCCACCATCATTGAAGCCTTCTCCCTCTTCTCCTTCACATACGCCCGGTCCCAGAACTGGTGTCATCTCCCCCAGACCCTCGACGCCTCAGCCCACGCCAACGCCGAAGCCACAAGCTACCTCCCCTTCTTCCTCTCAGCAGTCACAGAAGCCAATTGAGGAAAAACCTACACCCTCCAATCCCCCAGCATCGAGGGGAAATAAGACAGGATCACATTCTCTTGCAGCCTTGATCGTGGGCGTATTTTGGATTTTCATGTACATTTAATTAACGAGTGCGTTTTTGTTTTTCAGAACGGGGGAAGAGAATACGACTAAGGCATCGGGCCTGATGCCGACGAACCTACATAGCTCTAATGTTACACTTGTTTTAGATAGATCAAGTTGAATGCATCTTTACCTAACACACGCGCCTCCTGTTTGATGTCCAATCTGCTTAATGAGCGAATCAAGTTATAAAAGGTGTTAGAAATGTGTCATATCCTGCCACCACAACTCACATTGCGACTGACCGAGTTTGTGACTATGTCTGTATGCCTCCTACATGGTAATACTTGACAAGGTAGAGTACCCTTGAACTGATACGTTCTTGAACTAAAGCCGTAAATAGTAAGACTCGAGAACAACACAATGCAGCACCATTTCACAGATCCACTTCGAAATCTTCAGTCACCTCACCCTCCAACTAGTCAAACTGTATAGATAGCCGAGAGAAAGACACAAGCTAAATCAGATAGATGACGTCGAAGAATGGTAGCTTCACTAGGAGATCTGAGCGTATATCAAGGTTTGGAAGGAGTGTAAGGTAATCCTTTAGAAGGCTTGAGGTCGGGAGGTTTGAAGGGTGCCTGGGCTAGCAAATCAATTCAAATCGCTATTACCTATTACGTACTAGACCCATTGAGGATCTGCATCATTTGCAAGTGGGGCGATAAGCCAGCTCACGATAAGCCTTCGCTCTGCCTGCCTGCCGTAGTCGGTTTTCAAAGACCATCATACAGACAGCTCTTCAAACTTGGAGATTGATCTTTCTACATCTACGCCCGTCGCGTGAATATTTTGCCAGCTCTTTCTATTCAACCTCACATCACGAAAGTCCGAGTCCAGAGGATGGCAGAACACTGGAAATCCACACCAAAATACTGGTGCAAGCATTGCTCTGTTTTCGTCCGCGACACCAAGCTTGAGCGCCAGAATCATGAAGCTACCGCCAAGCACCAGTACGCCTTGAAGCGCTTCCTACGAGATTTACATCGCGACCATGAAAAGGAGGAGCGCGAGAAGGAGAGGGCGCGGCGGGAGATTGCCCGGCTTGACGGCGTAGTATCCGGAGCCTCGTCGTCTTCGCGGCCTGGGCCCCACGGGAGCTCACAGGCAGGGCCGGCGTCAGGCGGTTCGACTGAGGCCGAGCGCAAGAAGCAGAGAGAGCAGCTCGCGGAGCTAGGGGTGGCGATGCCCGACGACTTCCGACCCGAGATGGCGATGGCTGGCGAATGGACCGTGACGAGCACACGAGTCATTGAGGACAAACCTGCTGAAGGAGAGGACAGTAAGGATACCAAGGCAACGGGGGTCCGCAAACGAGAAGTCACTGAGGAGGAGAAGGAGGAGGAGGAAGCCCTCCAGAGTTTGTTCAAGAAGCCGAGGAGGTGGGGTCGAGATTCAAAAACTGTTGGGAACCAAGATGAGGACGCAGACCTGGATGCTCTTCTGAGCGGCTCGATATTGACACACCAAAGTCAAGGTCCCAGCGCAGACCTGAATGTCAAAGCTGAGGATGAGGCCCCCGAATCCAAGGAGGAGGTCAAGAAGGAAGAATCAGACCCAGTTAAAAAGGAACCCGACACAGAGGTACAGGGTTTCACAATGCCAGACGACACGGCAGAGCCGAAACTAGAACCCCAAGTTAAAAAAGAAGACGGCGAGACGGGACCAGCACCAATTGTATTCAAGAAGCGGAAACCCAAAACGGTACGACAGAAGTAATTATCCTTGGTTTCCTTTTTTATGACCTCGAGGCACGCTGTCTGGACAGCCTTACTGAGGGTCTCCTACCTGGGTATGAAGCAAGGCGCATGAGATCTCATCATGATGATCAGAGATACCACCATAAATCACTTCCATTTTAGTAATATATCCATGCGCGCGCCCTTCTTTCTACGCGTTTCCACCTAATCCACTTGGTAGGTTATTTGCTCTTGGGAATAAGGCTTTCCAACTTCTATTTCCGGTTTTCCGTTCTAAGCGATCGTCTATCTCTCGTTCGGCGACAAGCGAGGACTCAACATCATTTGACCCGCAGTCTAGCTCGAGAAAGCAATTTCCATATTGAGAAATTTGACGAATGGGGTAGGCACCCTGCTTACACATCTCGATATTCGCAATACTGCTGGTAGCCAACCACGGGAATCTATGCCGAGGTTTGGAGGGGCAAGAGCAGAATGATAGCAGGGATCTCTTCATCTCCACCTCGTCGGCTTGATCTTTTATTTATTTTTCCACTACTCAACGGTTTTGAATCGAGCTTTCCTACAGTCACAGATTCAAGAGAGGCTCTCAATTGATATACCGGCTTTGATCTACCTCGAATCAAACAAAGATGGCCTCGAATCCCCCTGGTGAATGCTGCACTCGCGGCTGGATTCTCAGGTAGGCACCACCCCGCATCCCCTCATTGCGACGCCAAGAAGGGTTCGCAATGCATGGCTCCGGAGATACACAAAACAACTAACAGAATGAAGTGGCGAGCCCGCTGGGGAACTCATCAAATGTGTTGATGGGAAGACCGACGCATACCTGGCTACACCTGGTGCAGATTTCCCTGCCAAGAAGGATTCTGCTATTATCATCCTTTCAGACATCTTTGGCATTTACCCCAATAGCCAATTGATGGCAGACAGTTTTGCTGCTCAAGGCTACACCACACTCATTCCTGATCTCTTCAAAGGCGACCAGGTGCCAGTGGAGAGACCGGCTGGTTGGGATATCATGGCGTGGATCACCAAGGGAAGTGACGGCAATAACCCTCATACACCAGCCACTATTGACCCCATCGTCGTCCAAGGAATTGAAACCTTGAAGAGCTTGGGAATCAAGAGAATTGGCGGTGTTGGGTATTGCTTCGGTGCCAAGGTATTACCTAGCCCTGGCTAAACATTGTTGCATCACTGACAGGCCAAATAGTATGTCGTGCGCAACTACAAGCACGGAATCGACGTTGGGTACTCTGCGCACCCTTCCTTTGTTGAGAAGGAGGAGCTGGCTGCGATCACCGGCCCTTTCTCCATTTCTGCTGCCGAGACTGACGAAATCTTCCCCGAGAAGTTGCGAATCAAGTCGGAGGAAATCCTGAGAAAGACAGGCCTGCCTTTCCAGATCAATCTCTTCCAGGGCGTCGAGCACGGCTTCGCTGTTCGTGGCAACCCCAATGTTCGAGCAGAGAGGTTTGCCAAGGAACAGGCCTTCAAGCAGGCCGTGGCCTGGTTTGACGAGTTTCTTGTCAACCCGTAAGGCAATGCGGGCTTATTGTGGAAGAGCGCATGTTGGGACCATTCTTTAGTGCAGGTCTAGCTAGCCGGAGTAATTGATACCGAGTTGTTGCTTGGGGGTGTTAGCTTCAAAGTAAGATTTTGGTGTTCTGGTAGCACCTCAGTGCGCAATGAAATTGTGTCCTTTATCACCTTTGAGATTTGGTGAGATTTCTTCTTTAAGTGATGAACTGGCTGATGTGTACTACAAAGAAAGTGGATGAATACTTTGTATCTCACAACTGTCATTCGTTATGCATCTGAGATTCACTCGCAGACGCTGGGCTCCGATTGGCTGCTGGTGTTTGTCAAACGTGGTGCCCGGGTCGAGTCCTCGCACCCTCTAGCGTCATCGTGATAGTGGAATGGGTTGAAGGTTTCGTGCTACATATGATAGCATATAGTTTTGTAGTCTGACAGCGGTAGATTGCATAGTGTGGCCTGGAGATGGCAAACAGATCTGATGGAGACTCACGACCAGGCCATTCATGTCAATATGTAGGTACGATCCCCAAGTCAGGGAGGTGCTAAGAATAGGAATATCCAACAGACGTAATCTGATGTCTCAGAAGGGAATCACAGGATTAGGCGGGTGGAGCCGCTGCACTGACCCATGACCTCGCACCTAATTGTGGGGGAGTTCAGACTGTTCAGTGCTAATATAGCGCTGGGGTTCGTCTTTCGTGGAAGCTTTTATGTAAGGTAATGATGGACCTTACCCGGAATTCAATCCACCCTCCTCCACCGCAACACTTCCTCGCCACCTAGCCTCACCACCTGCTACTGGAAAGGAAGTACTACCGGCTCAGAATGCTCGCGAGCACTTGTAATGTCCGCTACAGCCGAGTACGACTATCTTCGCCCGGAGACAGAAGCGATCACCAAAACGCCGACACGGCGAGAGGGTCTCGAGCCACCGCCATGCATCTCGACAAGTGATGGGAGCTTTACGAGTGTCAGCCCCCCGACGTCAGTAGCCTCGACACTGGCCACCCCGTCCTCCGATGACGACCGATCACCAATAGAAGAAGAAAGGAACGGACCATCTGGTCAAAAGCAATTGAAAGCGCCACTACCCTCGGACCCAGCGCCACTACCCACACCATTGCCCTCGCAGGACCATACCATGGCGAACGGACACACAGACGGCGCTGCGGCCAAGTCGCGAAGCCGGAGCGGCAGTCTAAAGGTCCGAAGATTGTCTGCAGCCGACCTCCAGGAATTGACCAAGTCTCCTGACTCCTTGCCAATCGCACCTGCCCCCGAACGGCGTTTCGTCGACTTTGACAGGAGATCAGTGCCATCTGATCACCATGAGCTGTTGCCGAAATCTGCAATCGACCCTGGGACAGATTACGGCCAGTTTGACGGGCGCGGGGGCCGAAGACCGTGGCAGCAGGTTAGAGACAGAGTTGACTTTGGCCAGCCCAGCCCAGCCCCCAGAACGGCATCAACGCCACCAGCGAACCGCACCCGAATCCCCAACGAACACTCTGCGGCAGCCACATCTCCCAGACGGTACTCATTCAACCAACCCATGCGTCCTCCTCCCTTAAATCTCAACGTTGATACACGGCACTTGGCCTCGCTGCCCTCGATCCGAACGGGTCCTGCAGCCATCACCACGCCCAAGGTCCCAGATCCACAATCTGCCACAGGGCCACCGTCGCCCTTGCTGGGGAAAATCCCCTTGCCCCCGATGTCGATACCCACCCACCTGCAGCTTGAGATTGCAGCACAG